AGTCCCCCCCCCTTTGCCATGAAAACCAACTGGGTGACTTTGGGCCAATCACCAGGAGACGGTGAGTTCTAGTCCCCCCTTAGCCATGAAAGCCAACTGGGTGACTTTGGGCCAATCACCTGCAGAATGCAAGTTCTAATCCCGCCTTAGGCATGAAAGCCATTTGGGTGCTTTTGGGACAATCACCAGGAGACAGCGAGTTATAGTCCCCCCTTTGTAATGAAAGCCAACTGGGTGACCTTGGGCCAATCACCTGCAGAGTGCAAGTTCTAATCCCACCTAAGCCATGAAAGCCAGCTGAGTGGCTTTGGGACAATCACCAGGAGATGGCGAGTTATAGTCCCCCCTTTGTCATGAAAGTCAACTGGGTGACCTTGGGCCAATCACCTGCAGAGTGCAAGTTCTAATCCCGCCTTAAGCATGAAAGCCATCTGGGTGCTTTTGGGCCAATCACCAGGAGACGGTGAGTTATAGTCTCCCCTTTGTCATGAAAGTCAACTGGGTGACCTTGGGCCAATCACCTGCAGAGTGCAAGTTCTAATCCCGCCTTAAGCATGAAAGCCATCTGGGTGACTTTGAGTCAATCACCAAGAGACGGTGAGTTATAGTCTCCCCTTTATCATGAAAGCCAACTGGGTGACTTTGGGCCAATCACCAGGAGACGGTGAGTTATAGTCTCCCCTTTGTCATGAAAGTCAACTGGGTGACCTTGGGCCAATCACCCGCAGAGTTCAAGTTCTAATCCCGCCTTAGGCGTGAAAGCCAGCTGAGTGACTTTGGGCCAGCCCAACTCACCTCACAGGGTTGTTGTTGTTGTGGAGAAAACAGAAAGAGGAAGGTGTGCTGGATCTGTTTGCCACCTTGAGTTATTTGTAAAAATAATAAAAGTTGAGATACACACAAATAAACAAACAAATAAAAGGTCTGGTGCGTTACCAAGATTGAGGTTAGAGACATGTCCTCTGAAAACAAACCCAAACCCAGAGGAACGTGGAAGCTGCAGCTGGGTGCAACTCGTATTTCCGCGCGAAATGCAAACGCGAATGTCAACGCAACGTGACGCCACTTATGAGGAGGATGTTGGAACGGCTTTGTTCCGTTTCTTTGACTTTATTGTTTCACTTTTGAGAGGAACACGGTCGGTTCAGGTTCAATATACCGTTTTGCAAAACAAAGGAACATAACTCACAGCTCTTGCGAAGGAACTGACAAAATGGTACAGTCGGAAACAGAAAGAACCGCGTGTCCCACCACCCAGCTTCTTCTGAAAAAGAAAAATAATAATAATAATAATCTACTGACCAGTTATTCCAACCAAGAGAGGAAGGAGCTTAAGATCCAGTTACATTTCTCAAAGTTTTGACCCTTTTAACCTCCTGTATCTTCTACAGATGGAGGCCTACGCTTCCCACTCATTTTAAACTTAGTGCGGGCAATAAAAACGTTTGCCACCGTGCCTCCACAAAGCGTTTCTGATTTCCCAATCTAGCCCATAGCCACGATATTCTCTGGAGGTCTCCCCTCCAGGTCCTGCTCAAGTTTGACCCCGCTTAGCTTCTCGGGACAGAAAAACTCAACAGGTGTGTGGTCGCCTGTCCTTCTATTAGCTCCCTTTTGGGATTCAGTTAAGAGGAGGATGCTCACCTGAACTGGATGTTATTGTACAAATTACTACACCAATACATATATAATGCCTACCATGAAAGGCCGTGAGAAGGTGGAGAGTTTCTAGGGAAATTAGAGACTGCAGCAAGACTATACAGCAAGAGATCTCAAGTCATTCATTCTAGCGTTACGGGCAGGGTTGCATTCTCAGCAACGTGCAATGGAAGAAACGCTTCGGGAACACCCCCGATGATAGGTCTGGTTTCAGCCAACTTCGACAGCAGCCTTCCGTAATTTAATACCTTCTGGCGGAGTTAAACCAATTTCCACCACAGCCCAACGAACACCCGGATAGCTATCTGGAGGGCGTGAAGCCAGGAAAGGCTGAATCAGAGTTTTGTTACTGTGCTAAACTGACGATATAAATCACCAATCATGCAGAAGGGCTTTGCATCCTGTATTTTGTAACTCCAAGGCAGCTGATCCTACTTAAAGTTGCTCTCTTACTATGAAATTACAAGATATATATATATATATATCAAAACTACTGGGTTTTTTTTTGCTACCATTGTCTCCCCTCCAATAATGTAAAAAAAAGAAAAAAAAAGAGGTTCAAATACACAAGCCACTTGGTTGCGTATAGATGACTTGGGATGATCCTGTACAATTAAATTTGGACATTTGATAGCTCTGTTCCCTTATTTATCTATTTATAACTCAATTTCTTAAAAGATTTTGTTTATAAAGGTGTTTCTGTTACAGGTAGCTATGACAAAGAACTACTTGGAAGCCTCTGATACATTTTGTATGAGATCGTGAGTAGTATCTTTTCTTCCATAGAGGGAGCAATGCAGAACTGAAAAACAGTAACCCTGAATTGGGTGCTACCTTCTTCATCACCATATCATGATTTTTAGAGTCCTTTTGGTGTTTGATATTTACATTCTCCACTCTGCATAGTTTTAACTAAGGTGTATCGTCATCTCATTTGAAAACTGGAAAGGGAAAGAAGAGACTCTAGTAGTTGAAAAGATATGATTTGAGGAGGGGGAAAAATCAGCCCTGCCTTTGGATTAAAAAAAAAAAAGGAAAGGCTGCTTTAAAAATAAATATGTTTTTATGCAAGGAGTTTAGGACAGTGTATCTCAACCTCGGCAAGTTTAAGATGGGTGGACTTCAACTCCCAGAAGTCCCCAGCCATCTCCGCTCTTCTGGGAGTTGGAAGTCCATCCTTCTTAAACTTGCCAAGGATGAGAGACACTGGTTTAGGGGGACGAAGGAATCTGCCACAAGATAAAATATACATTAGTGGAGACACCGAGTTCAAGTATGCTCCCATCTCCTCGAATTCCACAGATCAATGATTTAAAACGGCATATAGACTGGAAAGATCAGATGAGCAAAATTAAGGTAGAAGCCGATGCTGGTTCACAGGCAAAATACACAATTAAGTTTCTAAGGAGTGATCCAGAGAATAGAAAATGAAGAGAAAAAAAAACTTCACACCCTATTGGGAAAAATGGACACCCGTCAGCAAAAGAAATAGGCAAGTTAACTCTATTCTGAGACACACTAAAAGAAAAAAAAAAGGTGCAGTTTTTAATGAGGTCACAAAATCTCAGAAATTTGCCCCCCCCAAAAAAAGCAGCGTATTCTTGAAAGACAGGCACAGATCACCTAACCACCTTAGTCTGATTAGAAAGTCCAAGGAGAGGGAAAACAGGGACCAGAGGATGGGAAAGCAAAGTCTGCAGGAAAGCGGAGAAATTTAGCTAGTAATTGGGGGGGGGGGGGAGAAAACAAGTGAAAAATACCACACAGCAGCTCAAGTACTTCATATTTCTTCACAAGATAAGATACTGACATATTGAACAATACATAAAAATTGTAGGAAACTATTAATACTTTATGATCTCTGTGTGTTTATGTGCACTGATATACACACACAGTTATATACAGCAGACGATTTCAGCTAAATTCTGAGGAAAAACTTGGAAATTCCCAAGTATCCAGGCGCTCAGACATCACACAGTTCATTAGCCAAGCCAAAGGTTTTCTTAAGATAAAAGAAACCAGATTTTCATCCTGGTTCCCCCGGAATGCCTCATTTTGACATCCAAGCCAATTTTATACCACGATTCAGTGTTTCCTGCCTCTTAGCGGGTCTAACACTGTAGTATTTAAATATACATAGATTATAAAAAACGATTTACTGATCACAAGCACCAAAAACAGAATTGACACCAGACCTTTGTAGAAAAGGATACTGGAATTTTTTCCTCAGATTCATGCAGCATAGCTCAAAATGATAGACATTGTAATCTGATTTATTTTTCAGTAGTCTCCTTCCGGGCACGGGGGGGTGGGGGAGGGCAGAAGGGAAAGAGGAAAAACTCATGTGGAATCTTATAATCTTATATTTTATAAGTGCAAAGTTCCAAATTGTTATTGGCTTTGGTTTGGTTCGAAAGATGTTTGCTTCTGACACTGGCGTGTACCGTTTATGAAAACCGTCACCTGTCCTGCCTGTTTTTCCATCCTTGTTTGTATCCAGCCATTACGCTAAAATTGAGGAGCATGTGGAACCTCAAATGGAGAAAGAGAATTGAGATGATTTAATTTAATGTATAAAAAGGGGGAAAAAAGGAAAGAAAAGATGAGGAATCTTACACACGCCCGTCGAAATCAGCCGAAGCCAAGAATGGGAACTTTTTTAAAAAAAACAAACCAAAAAAAAAAAAAGCTTTTAGAAATGCTGTTTGTTGCCTTCTAAATAAGAGAACTGAAATGATTAAGCGGACAGCATCCTTCAAAAAAAAAAGAGAAAAGAACACACCCTTTAAATAAACCTGGATCCAGCCAACAGCTGCTTCTACAATATCTTAAATAATATATTTTGGCTCGATTCCAAGCCATCCCACCTCAGTCACAATTATGTCACTTGGCTAAATATGCCACACCTACACCCTCCTCCCCCCCCCATGTATCAGACTACCCAGAATTCATCTAGAACGTCATCTGAAGTCCCCAAAAGAAGTTAGGCAAGTTACACATGCGAAGGTTGTGGCTAGGATGGTAAGCCTTGCACGGACTCGCTTCCTCCGGGCTTTCGGGGTTTGGCAAACACTACAAAGACAGCAGCACGGTGAGGCTATTATCTAACGCAACGGTCGCTTCCGTGACACGACTCGGCTCTTTTGTATGATAATTACAAGAATCCGCAAACCCATGTTTGTTTGTTTGTGGCGGTGGTGGTAGTGGTAGTGGTAGTTGTAAACAGGAGGTGGAAAGAGAATGGAACAGCGGGCGCGGACGTTGAAAGAGGCCGCCCGCAAAGGATGTTAGTCCAGTTATGTGGGAGATTCTTCCATCGGAGGTGTGGGTTATTTCCCCCCCCCCTCTTCTGCTATGCTGGTTAGAGGACGGGTCCTACCAGTTGTGATTGTCCCATTCTTCTTCGGCGGCCGAAGAGGGCTCTTTCGTGGCCTTCTTCGGAGTCTTTTTGGTTTTGCCCTCCCCGGCGGCGTTTTCCCAGTTGGTCTCCCAGTTTTCCCAGCTGTCGCCATTACTGTTCTTGTTGTTGGAAACGGTGCCCGAACCCCAGACATCCCAGCTGTCGGAGCTTTTCTTCTCTGCCGAATTGTCCACATACGTCCAGCTGTCGCTGCTCGGGGACTTGTGGGTTTTGGGCGGGTCTGAATTGCCGAAGGTCTCCCAGAAACTCTGATCCACGGAGTTGTTCTGGTAGCTTTCGTTTTTGCTGTTCTGGTAGCTCTCCGCTTCCGGGGGCCTTTCGGGAAAAAAGGAGCAGAGGGAAAAAAGGAACTCGGTTAGTTCAACGGAAGCTAATCAGGGAGAGAAGCAACCTAGAACTAAGGAGAAACTTCCTGACCATGAGAACAATTAACCAGTGGAACAACCTGCCTCTAGATCAGGGGTGTCAAACTCAATTTCATTGAGGGCTGCATCAGCATTGCGGTTGCCCTCGGGGGTGGTGGTGGCCAGGGGGGGTGCGGCCTACTGGGTGGTGTGGATGGAGGGGTGTGGCCTACTGGGTGGGTATGGCCAGCTCTACATCGTTCGCGTCAAGGGTGCCTGTGGGGGCCTAGGCAGGAGTGGGACAGATCTGAGGGTCTCTGGCAGAAGGGGGTGGGACCGGGGCAAGCGCCAAGGCATGGTCCACTGGAGGAGCCTCACTGTTCCTCTCAGGCCATGCGGGGGGGGGGGGCTTATGGAGCTAAGACTGAATGCGTTTCAGCATAGATGGCCACCACAAAATTGTACATTGGCTCCCAGCGGGCCTGGGCCAGGGCCAAGGCAGCGGGGGGCGTTCCCTCACTGTTTCCAGGATGGTTTCGCGGGCCACATGAAACCACTTCGCGGGCCTTTTTGAGACAGGCTGGACTTCGTTTACAAGTTATATGTCAGAGATGTATCCTGAGCAGATGCATCTACCATACCTTTCAGAAGACCCGTCTGCTTTTCCAGAAAAGAAAGTGGTCATATCTCGCCAGCTTTTAGTACTTACTCCCTGGACCTGTGGAGTGAAGGAAAAAATAAGGCAAATTAAATTATTACAGAGAGAGAAAACAGTGGTATGCAGATATCAACCCTTTCCTTTTATCAGTTTTTGAAGCCAAGAAAACAAAATGGTACCCAACAAGCAACTCCAGGTAGTCCTCAACTTACAACAGTTCGTTTAGGGACTGTTCAAAAGTTACAACGGCACTGAAAACCGTGATTTATGACCCCTTTTCAAAGTCACGATCTTTGCAGCATCCCCATGAATTCAGATGCTCGGCAACTGGTTCGCATTATGACCGTTGCTGTGTCCCCGGGTCACGTGATCCCCTTTTGCGACCTTCTGACAAGCAAAGTCAACGGGGGAATCCAGATTCACTTAACAACCACGTTACCAACTTAACAAATGCAACGATTCACTTGACAACTGTGGCAAGAGAAATTGTAAAATGGGGGCAAACTCGCTTAGCAAATGTTTCATTTGGCAACATTAAATTTTGGGCTCCATTATGGTTGTAACTCGAGGACTACCTGTATATCCTTAAACAAGCAGCGTCCTGCTGGATTGGCCGATTGGCCTAGGTCAGTGATGGCGAACCTTTTAGAGACCGAGTGCCCAAACTGCAACCCAAAACCCACTTATGCATCGTCGGGTGCCGGGTGGGTCTGGCCCATTGGGTGGGCGTGGCTGCAGTGGTAACAGCACACTGGGTGGAACTAAAAAGTTCAATCAATCAATTCCAACTTTGCAAGGTCTTTTTTTTCCCTGCGAGAAGTTTTATAAAACCCAGCTGAAGGCCTAGGACTGGGGCGACGGTGTGCGTGCCCACAGAGAGGGCTCTGAGTGCCGCCACTGGCACCCGTGCCATAGGTTTGCCACCACTGGCCTAGGTGGTTCAGCAGCCTGTTCTCCCAGGGGCTGACCCAATTGCCCCACAGAGCCCACCAGTCCCCTGGCAGACGGCCTTCAAAGGGAGTCCCACTGCCCTCTGGACTTAAGCCACCAATCCCCACAGTTTTCACGAACGGAAAGCAGATTAGCTTTTTCACCGACCCAAACTAAAATGGGAAGTCTCCCTGTCTGAGAACTGAACAGGATTAAGATCTTTCTGGTGAATGTACTTAGGGTTAGTCAGTAAATCACAGGATCTGGTTTCCTTCTTGCTTTGCTCCCAACGTGACCGGAGCAAACCCATGTCTTGACTATAATGATTACAAAACAAAAAAACAAAACAGCCCAACAACTATGATGCTCTGTTTGCAGTTTTGTTCTAGGCTTAAACAAACACTTTAAACGTATATACAGGAGAGGTTTGGTTTGCCTCACTGAAGTATGCTCTTACCCCAAAGCCACTTCTCAAGAAAAGGACTGGGCCAAATTTGTGTGGAGTTAGCAAACCTTTATGTGCATACAACAGTGGTTCTCAACCTGTGGGTCGGGACCCCATTTGGGGTCGATCGACCATTTCACGGGGGTCGCCAAGCAAGGCTGTCCACCATTTTTTTTGTCCGCCATTTTTTCCCCCTTTTCCGGCGGGTGCCTTACCTCCCTTGGGCTGGGCCAGCTGGTGGTCGGCCTGCTCCGTCTCTGCCGCTTGCCAGCTACGCCTCGGCCGGCGCAGGGGGCGGAACCACGCATGCGCGGCGCTCCCGGGCAGGGATAGTCCTCGACTTACGACCGGTTGGGTAGTCCTCGACTTACGACCGGTTTAGTCCTCGACTTACGACCGGTTTAGTCCTCGACTTACGACCGGTTTAGTCCTCGACTTACGACCGGTTGGGGTCGCGGCATTAAAAAGGTTGAGAACCACTGGCATACAAATACATTTAATAAAATAGACTCTCCTCTCCTCTCCTCTCTTTCCTTTCCTCTCCTTCCTTTTTCCTCTCTCTCTCCTTCCCCCACACATTTAACCCTACAACCATTTGGCTAAAACAGATTTAAAACTAGGAGGCATCAGCACTTACCAGTTTTATTGAATATTGGCAGCAAAAAAAACAGGAGGAGAAGGAGAAGACACATCAATTAACAAGTTTTAAAATGACTTGTGCTCACATTAAGCTGTTTCCATATTCCTTTGCCATACGGCTCCTCAGGTGTTCTGCTCTATCGTTTTTTTTCAACGTAGCCTTTATTAAGATGCAATAAAGATAGTAATCAAGACCATTTTAGGAGAGGCATCTGGACAGCACAAAAAAATCATTTCAATTCTCCCACTAATGGCGTGTAAGACGATCTTTTAATTTTTTTTTTTTATGAAGACTAGCTCGGAGAGTCACTTGGTAGAAGGGCCAAGTCTGATTACAGGCAGTCCTCGACTTACAACAGTTCATTTAGTGACCGTTCAAAGTTACAACGGCACCGGGAAAAAGTGACACGACCGTTTTTCACAGTTGCGACCTTTGCAGCATCCCCAGGGTCACGTGATCAAAATTCAGAGGCTTGGCAACCGACTCACATTTATGACCGTTGCAGTGTCCCGGGCTCACGTGATCCCTTTTTGTGACCTTCTGACAAGCAAAGTCAATGGGGGAAGTTAGATTCACTTAACAACCGTGTTCCTAACTTATCAACTGCAGTGATTCACTTAACAACCGTGGCAGGAAAAGTCATAAAGTGGGGCAAAGTTCCCTTAACAAATGTCTCACTTAGCAACAGAAATTTTGGGCTCAGTTGTGGTCGTAAGGCGAGGACTGCCTGCAATAGGTTTTGAAGGATTATATTCATCCTTTACAGAAATAGGCAGGGGGTGAAAAGCCCAGATTTTTTTAAAAAGAAAGAAATCAGGATCTGGATTACATCTCATACCTTTTCTCTGAACCTTTCTAAGTATAATATTTTTTCCTTCCCTTCTTAACAACCGGCTTACTAACGTATCAACTGAGGTGATTCACCTCACAGCTGAGGCAAGGATGGTCGTAAAATGGGGCAAAATTCATTGAACGAATCTCTCATTTAAAAACAGAAATAGACGTGCCCCTCAACGCTTACTTTTTCATAACCTTGCACAAGTGAGTCAAACATGGCAGGCCCACTAGCCGTTGCTACGCTAACGAACGTTCGGATTCGTTTGCCGTGTAAAAGAGATTTTTGACTTTGGAACCAGAAATAAACCATGAACTGGGACTTGAGCCATGGGGGGAAACCACAGAAAGAGCTGCCTAGAGAGGCTACCTCGCTGCCAGAGAGGCCGTTGTTGTGCTGGAGCGCCACGTGCAACTGGAATATGGAAACTGGCTTAACGCGGGGCCTCCCGATTTCCAGGCAGGCCTCTATCATACCTTGGAAGCAAAATGCGAGACTCCGTGGGAAACATCTTCGAACACTTTTCCATCTTTCACCTACGTGAATCAAGTGGTCCAGAGTTAGATGCCGATCAAGGCAGGCTGTGAGAAACGTTCATTGCAGAGAGGGCAAAGAAAGAGTTTCTCCCACCATGAAGCCGGGTTGGGAGAAACAAGACGGCTCGGTATAAAGGACGACCCTCCACGGTACTGCCACGGGGGAAATGCAAAGGTTTGGGATCCGACTGGCTAAAAGTATCCGGAGGCTTTTTTGGCTGGTACAAAGTGTGGCTGTGCCCAAGCAACCTTGCGTGTCCAAAGAATGTAACGAGCTGCATTGGGTTCCAATCTGCTTCCTGGTCCAATTCAAGGGTGTTGGTTATGACCTTTAAAGCCCTACATGGCTACCTACAGGGGGAGCTGCCTTCACCCCATCACATCAGCCCATCCTACCTGGTCAGGCAGGGAAGACAAGTCACGGACCCCATAAATTAAAGACCTCCGACTGGACCATTCCCCACCCCATCCCCACTTTGAGGTGAGGCAGCCTTCAGAAACATCTACAGACCAGGCTCTGCCGTGTTGCTTGACCCACACAGAGGAGCACGCGGCCCTGGGGGCTAATTAGTGCCCTGAAGCCCCTTCCTCTGCCTTTGAATTAACTTTGAATGTCAGTGGTTTTTTTTTTTAACTCTCCTTGGCTCTTTTCTAAATTTTTATATTTCATTTTCAACATTTTATTTGCACACTGCCCAGATTCCTTCTGTGAGGGAGAAGGCGATTTCTAAATGTGATAGATACAGAGATGGATGGATGGATGGATGGATAGATGGATGGAGAGAGAGAGAGAGAGAGAGAGAGAGAGAGAGAGAGAGAGAGAGAGAGAGAGAGAGAGAGAGAGAGAGAGAGAGAGAGAGAGAGAGAGAGAGAGAGAGAGAGAGAGAGAGAAAGAAAGAGGGAGAGAGAGAGAGAGAGAGAGAGAGAGAGAGAAAGGAGAGGAAGAAAGAGAGAAAGGAGAGGGAGAAAGAGAAAGAGAGAGGGGGAGAGAGAGAGAGAGATGTTTTCTTTACTGTACCATTTAAAAAAAAACCTTAACCCCTTCCAAAATATCCCCATATATGTAATAAAAACAAGGTGGGTAGAAAAAAAAGTCAGCAAACGATTTGGTTGGTTATATGTATTTGCAAAAAAAAAAAAAAAAAAAGGTTTGGGAACAATTTTGGCAACTTGGTGTCCTTTGTTTGGCAGTGTGTGTTTTCTTGCTTTAGGTTTCCTTCCAGGGCAGGGTATTAATTGTCCCCCAATCCATTGATTTGCTTTCTAATTTGCACCAGAAGCACAAAGCTTTTTCTAACAAAAAGTGTGTGTGTATAAATAATAATAAAGTTGGAAGGGACCTTGTAGGTCATCTAGTCCAACCCCCTACTCAGGGATTGGACATATATATATTTAATTCTTTACTCTTTGTCAGAAAAAAAGAAATTTGGATATAAAAATATTTCGCAGTTGCGACTTGAGCCTGCTCTATGCCCCTAGTTGGGGGCGGCAAGGCAAGAGATATTGTAAAAAGAGTAAAACTGCAGTATGGCAGTTGAAAATGTCAAGGTGTTCACAATCAGACCGATCTGTCTGAACTCCCTATAATTACTCCCTTGACTCTGCTGGCAAAGA